CTTTAACCTTACATTTGGTAAACTTAATGGAATGAAATTCTGTTACTGCTCTCTGCAAGTCAAGTTTTTCCATACCACGAATCATTCTTGTCGTTGTTTGCTGAATCTTCCAGGCTTTCCAACATGCTTTAAAAAGCAGCATTATATCATAATAGCCGTCTAACTAATGGTATATACAGATATAGTGTCACCTTCCTCCTCTCATTCATCCAAGAACTCTGCAACTTTGCAATAGGATTATGCTGGAGCACTTCCTTGGTCCTACGCAACGGTCCTTAGATGCTGGCTGGAGTCAGAGTTTTCCAAGTTGGGTGTTGCATCATCCCATGGCTGATGCTCTTTGCCTCTGGCCTAGGACATAACTTCATGGTTGTTGAGCAAGTGCACAAGTAGAGGTGGAGAATACAGGTGGTTTCTTCCAAGGCTACTTGTCACTTGAACTTTGAAAACGGGATGGAAAACACTCTCTGTTTGATGCAGTAGGATCTAAATTAAAATCACACCTCTCCCTGTAAACTGCCCCCTCTTTGTAAGATACAATTTCCTCTAAGCCTCCCCACATTTCTCCCATTATTTCCCCAGACAGTGGCGATGCTGCATTCAGGCAGCTGTCAAGGTCTTTAAGCGATTACCGGATCACACCGATTTTTTAAGGCCAGTACTTTCTTTTGCCAAGTAAGTGTACATTCTGGGAACTCACTTAAAGATGCTGATTTACTGAATGCATCCCCTTTTATCTGGTATAACTCCCAAAAAAATGAAGAGAGTTTTGTGAAACCTAAGGAATTGGTCAGTGAGGTTTTCAGAATGGGTGCTGTTCTCAGATCTCACTACAGTTTTGTTCCCTGCTTCAGGGACCTTACCCCTGAACACAAGCACTGCTTTGCTTTCTGTTCCTTTACATAATCTTCTGTCACCAATGCAGTCTTCACCTGCAGCACTTGCTGCTGGAAGCAGGTTTTCTATAGTGCTCTGCACCTCCTCAGTTCTCTGTTTCAAGAGTCATTCTAGTAAACGCAGACAGGCCTTCACTTAATCCTTTTCTCCTCTCCTTCTGCTATTGATTTTTACATAGTTGTTCACATTATCAGCCCATTGTAGTGAGGTTTTATTTTCTCACATGCCTGTAATGTAGTCAGAGACTTAGTCACAGAACATGCAAAATATGTCCTATAAAAGAAAATTATACCATGGTGCTGCACACTGGTTGGCTTTAAAAAAAGTAGGTACAAAGTATCACTCCATAATGAAACATTCAACTGTAGGGAGATTAAGGAGCCAATGATTTGACTAAGAGAGATTTTTTCCTAGAGAAAGGCAACTGTACGTGCCATCTTTAGTGGAAAACACGAATTACGTGTGTAAGAGCAATACCTAAAGAACCACCACTAATGGGCCTTGCACCCTGGGGCCCTGAACTACTGCACTGCCAGCCTCAAAGCATAAATAAGCTGCAAGGAGCAGGTTCAGCCAGCTGCCCACAACTGCATCTACCTGCAAGGTGGTTTTATATGCTCCCAGGGAATGTTGTCTTGTCAGCAGGCACACCAAATTGAAGGTATTTCCACACCTAATTACCCAGATACATGCATGTGTGATAGCGGGAGGAGCACAGATCTAGATGAACGCTGACACGTTCGCTGTGGAAACGTGGAGGTATTTGCAGAAATGTCTGCCAGGACACAGAAATGGCCCACAAGCCATGACTCTGAATAGGTACGATGGAAAAGGGATAGATGGATACAGTGCTACCAACTACAAAGGGCAAGGATAGGATGGATGCAATCCAGTGAGTGCTGCTATCCTAAAAACATAGCATCATTGCAGAGATCTGTGCAATCTCAGTTTTTCAGATGAGTTAGCTTTCCATTTTTTTTAGCTGCTGGTGATGCAGGAAGAAAGACTTCTCTTAGAGAAGAGGCATCCATTTATATTTTCATGAATCCTTCTCATATCCAAAGGATTGTAGTGTTGCAGTTAGAAGCAGAGTAACGTCACTGCAGACAGCAAGGCAGAGAGACCTTAGCTTCACTTACAGAGGACAAGCAATCCTTACCTCCCACTTTGCCTGTTTACGTAAGTGTGAATCAGTAACCAACTTGATTTGCTCCCTAGCATTTGTATGTCAAGCACTTAAGCTAACCTTAGGGCAGAAAGGGGGTTATAGCACCATTAGTGTGACAGTAAAGTATCTCACTTCCTCAATAAAAATGCTATTCCGTATTATTTTAAGCTACTTTTATAGTTTTACGAGGTGTTGCTTCCTTTCTAATACAGACATTTCACCCCTACTCCCCACATCAAAAATTCCTCCCACTAATGCTGTTCTCCCAGTGGTAGCCTTCAGTGGTGGAGGCAGATCTGCTGGCCTCTTACTCAGGTTTTCTGACCTTGCTGAAACAGATTTCGACAACACCGTAAGCAAACTGTTGCCCTGGCTATGTTAGCGCACTCAGCGCTGAGCAGGTTACGGAGGTGCACCCAGCAGATCCACTGAGTTTTCAAGGAATGATTCTCCAAGTCAAAAATAGAAGATGCTAATACAGCTGTACATGGAACTATTTCCTAAACATCTTCTCAAAATGACAAAAGAAATTCTGTTTTCAATCCTTGTTTTCAGAGCTTAAGTAACACCTACCCTTCCCAGGAAATTCAGGTGCTGACTCCAAAGAGTCAGGTCAGCAGCTTTCTAAAGCATGCTTTCTGTGAAGACTGCTTTTTTAGAAATAAAGTGATCCACACTGCAGACTCTGCAGTAGAAGATCAAAACATAATAACCTTGAAGAAAAAAAAGATCATGTTTCAAGTTCCAGAGGACTTGGCTCAGAGTCAACATATTCTACTTGATTTCTCTGGTCTCTTGGGTAGATCTTGAGAACAACTGATTGAGCAAATTGCAGGCAGCACAAAAGGTTAATACCTTTACAGTTAGCAATCAGACGTGACTGTATTTTTTTTTTAAAAGATGGTGACCTTATTTCAAGATTTATTTATTTAGAGTAAATGCTTTTTGATGTTTAGCCTTTTCAGCAAATGAGTGTTCATTTGTAATTCAAACAACAGAACAAAGCCAACATGGGTCTTTGTTTGCATGGGATCTTTTAGGTAAAATACTCTAGCTTCTGTACTTGCTATATAATGACAAATCCAGAGAGAGAGAAAAGCTCCTTTGACATGTGCAAAGCTTTGTACGCCTGAATCATGCAGGGCAGCGGACACCACTGTTAAAAATCAGGTTAGAAACAAAAGCTTTAAAAAAAAAGATCAAAAAGATTTTTGATTGGATTACAGAAGTCATTCAAGGACAGCATCCTTGAAAAACTCACTAGGTAAAAAACACTTGAGAGAAAAGAGGACAAAATGCCTGCTGGCTTTTGTGGATCCCCTTTCTTCATATAGACATTTCCCATGGCTGAGTCATGCCAGTTTAATCGGCTCCCACATACTAAATCCCAGTCTGTGCTGTGTTTGCTCATTACTCTGACTGCATAAGCCCCTCAGCTCTACCTCCCTCACTGGCTGGCTTGTTTTTGTGTGGCTGCACAAAGAGCTGCCCTAGCACGACTGCGGGAACAAGCAGAGGTGGAAATAAATGGCCAAATGCAGGAGCTCCTGAACATCTCTCTAAAGAACGCTGCAGGTGAGAGGCATGTTCACAGAAAGATGACACAAGGCAATCACCTTTCCCCAGGCACAGGAGAGAACTCGAGTGCTTAATTCAAAGCTTGGCATTGTTACAGCCAGGTTCCCAGAAATTCAGCACGGCAGAAGACAAGTTGAGGTGTAGCTGAGGTCCCGGAGCATGCAGGTGTTCAGAGACTCAACTGAACAAGACAGAGATCGCTTTTGCAAGATGTTTTAATGGTGGTAAGTTCACCATGCTGAACCAAGCCCAAACAGTAGCTCTGTTTCTGGGCACAGTATCAGGTCTGTTTTTCTCAAAGAGGGTTCAGAGCAAGTCGTAAAGCGTCAAAGGTCAGCAGAAACTCATTTCCTACTAATTATCCTTACCTACTACAAGTAAATCCTTCAGTTCAGGAATGGGTGCAAACATTCACAAAATAAAACTAGAACTTCTTGTCACTCCATCCTGAAGGCAGGCAGCTACTGCTAACTTAGGGGCTGCACAGCGACAGAGGAGCTAAGAGGGATGTATTTCTGAAAGGTCTGTCACCGGTTGTGTCAGTTAAAAACATCCATTGCATGTGTTTCCATGAAACTGCCTCTCTCACGTTTGCTGATAAGTAATGTCTGCACCTGGAAGATACCATTGCTGAGTGCCGCTCACTTTCACAAAATAAGCACTCCTTGTAGAAACCATGAATGATGATATATAACAGTAGTATAATCCCCCTGGAATCAGTCATTACCACAGTTAAACTGTTAGCCTATTAACTACCCTGAGTGTTGCCTTAGGGCTTTTAACAGCTGGCTAAAACTGATTTTCATAGGGATTATACTTACATAAGGACCAGAGAGGGTCTAAATTAAGCTATGGAGTGTTTGTTACCGGGCAGGCCAAAAAGTAACGATTTAAGTTCTCCATAACATATTTGGTCCCAATCTTAAAACACCCCTATTTGTGATGCTCTCAGAGTACATGCAAAGTCAGTAATTTTGCAAACAAGCATTTTCCACAAAAGTCATACAAAAATAGAAATAAAAACACTTCCTAATTATTTCTTTTTTGAAGCTCCAAACAGATTTAATTAAAATAAGCAAAAAAACTTAGCGCCTCCATTATATAAAGAACAACTAAAAATAGAAACTGAAGTTGTACTAGAACAAGATGAGCATTTAACATTCTGCAAGTCTGAACCCCTTCAGACTACTTGCTCAGAAGGCCAGCATTATCTAGTATTTCTTGAAACCCAAATTCATCATATATGCTTTTTGATGAAAAATTAAGACACAGCCAACATTATTGCTTTTATTACAAAATGTAAATAAATTCAAAAATTGTAAATCTGAGTGTACAATTTAAGTTAAAAATGAATTCTAACTGACAGTCCTCTATGAGCTGGTGTCAGATGGGGCTAAGGAAATAGATGAAGAAGATGAAGAAGAAGATGGAGAATATTCATTATTTGTTATTGATGCTTTCTCTTCATATTTTGGAGGTGATTCAGAGGAGACGTATAGCATCGGTAAAATATCTGAAGGTGAGCTGCTTCCAGAAATTGTATATATGGTTTCGTAGTCTCTAACAACTGTTCTTTCATCATCTGCAAGCTGTGCTCTGTAAAACACAAAACTGCATATTAGCATAATTCATTTTCCTACAGTGAGTGAAATTCCGCTTGACTTACATAAACATGTACGCACAGACTCCCTAAAAATCCCTGAAGCAAAGAACTTACATAAGCATTAGGATTTCATTCTATGGGCTACATTATGACTCATACGAAAATTCTATTACTTCAGAGGGGAAGGGCAAATAAGCTCCCTTATAACCTTTCACATCACCAGTCACAGCCTGGCTTATGGGTATTAGCTGCTTCTGGCAGGGCTATCTCACA